CTTTGCTGGTTATGGGTCTGTTCAAATTTTCTATTTCTTCCTGTTTCAGTTTGGTAGTTTGTATATTTCTAGGAACTTATCCATTTCTTTCAGATTGTCCAGTTCGTTGGCATATAATTTTTCATAATATTGTCTTATAATTGTCTGTATTTCTGTGGTGTTGGCTGTGATCTCTCCTCTTTCATTCATGAATTTATTTGGGTACTTTCTCTTTTCTCTTTGAAAAGTCTGGCTAGGTGTTTTTCAATGTTATTAATTCTTTCAAAGAACCAGCTCTTAGTTTCATTGATCTGATCTACTGTTGTTTGTTTATATATTGCTTATCTCTCCTTTCATCTTTATCACGTCCCTTCTTCTGCTGGCTTTAAGCTTTATTTGCTATTCCTTTTCTAGCTCCTTTAAGTGTAAGGTTAGTTTGTGTATTTGAGACTTTTCTTGCTTCTTGAGATAGGCCGGTATTGCTATATACTTCTCTCTTATGACCACCTTTGCTGTATCCCAAAGGGTTTGGACTGTCGTGTTTTCATTTTCATTTGCTTACCTGTATTTTTTTTTTTACATCTTCTTGAATTTTCTGGTTAACCCACTCATTCCTTAGTATGTTCTTTAACCTCCAAATTTTTTTCTTGTGGTTGACTTCAAGTTTCATAGCATGTGGTCTGCAAATATGCATGGTATCTTGATCTTTTTGTACTCTTGATCTTGATCTTTTTGTACTCATTGAGGGCTGATTTGTGCCCCAGTATGTGATCTCTTCTGGAGAATGTTCCATGTGCACTCGAGAAGAATGTATATTCTGCTGCTTTAGGATGAAATGTTCTGAATATCATCCAATTAAGTCCATTGGGTCCAGTGTGTCTTTCAAAGCCATTGTTTCTTTGTTGATTTTCTGCTTAGATGATCTGTCCATTGTTGTAAGTGGGGTGTTAAAGTCCCCTAGTATTCTTGTATTATTATCAATGAGTTTCTTTATGTTTGTTATTAATTGATTTATATATTTGGGTGTTTCAAGTTGGGGGCATAAATATTTACAGTTGTTAGATCTTCTTGGATAGCCCCCTTAATTATGATATAGTGCCCTTCTTCATCTCTCGTTACAGTCTTCAGTTTAAAAAATCTATTGTCTGGGGGCACCTGGGTGGCTCAGTTGGTTGAGTGACCGACTTCGGCTCAGGTCATGATCTCACAGTCTGTGAGTTCGAGCCCTGCGTCGGGCTCTGTGCTGACAGCTCAGAGCCTGGAGCCTGGTTTAGATTCTGTGTCTCCCTCTCTCTGCCCCTCCCCTGCTCATGCTCTCTCTCTCTCTCTCTCTCTCTCTCAAAGAATAAACATTTAAAAATTAAAATCTATTTGTCTGATATAAGTATGGCTACCCCGGCTTTCTTTTGACGTCCATTAGCATGATAGATGGTTCTCAATCCCCTCACTTTAAATCTAGAGGTGTTTTTAGGTCTAAAATGAATCTCTTGTAAGCAGCATACAGATGGGTCTTTTTTTTTTTTTAATCCATTCTAATACCCCATATCTTTTGATTAGAGCATTTAGTCCAGCAAATGGACCACTCTAGAAAATGCTCTTACAAAGACAACATGACGACCAGCCAACCAAAATGCCCCCCAAATCTTCCAAAGCTGTGAAGGCCACCCTTTGTAATACAAATTGTCCTAAACATCATTGTTGTTAAAGAAAAGTATATCCTTTTTTTAAGTTTATTTTATTTTGAGAGAGAGAGAGAAAGTGTGCGCAGGGGAGGGGCAGACATAGAGGAAGAGAGAAAATCCCAAGCAGGCTCCACACCCAGTGCAGGGCCTGACAGGCGCTTGATCTCATGACAGTGAGATCATGACCTGAGCCGAAATCAAGAATCGGACACTTAAGCGATTGAGCCACCCAGGTGTCCTGAAGATGAGTTTATTCTTGATCATACCTGAGCGCTGGCTTTTGGCAAACTGAGCTAGAAACTAGTGGCCTGCAACTTGAAGAAGTCTGAGATGAAGAAACAAATGTAGGAGGGATCAAGCCCTGCAGGTAGGGTGGGGTAATGCAGCAGGGACCGAGTAGGTCCTCCTGAGCAAATGCGCAACCACATGCATCCTTATAGGAGGGAAGCAGAGAGAGCTTTTACACGCAGAGGAGAGGGCCATATGAAAACAGAGCAGAGAGAGATGTGAAGATACTGGCCTTGAAGGTTGGAGTGATGTGGCCACAAGCTAAGGTCCCGGCAGCCACCAGAAGCTGACATACAAGAATGTCCATAGCAGCTTTATTCATAACAGCCCCAACCAGCAGCAGGCGAACGGGTAAACTAACTGTGGTGCATCCATACAGTAGAATACTGCTGAGCAAGAAACAGTGATCTATTCCTATGCACAGCTTGGATGAATCTCAGAATATTACACTGGGTGAAAGAAGACAGACATAAAGGACTATATACCGTATGATTCCATTTACATGAAGTATCCAGAAAAGACAAATGCAGAGGGACAGAAAGCACACTGGTGGTTACCAGGGGTTGGGGTTAGGGGAATGGGGAGTGGTGGGGTGTTCCTCTGGAGTGATGAAAACGTTCTGGAACCAAATATAGGTGGTGGTTGCACAACACTGCGAATGTACTAAATGCCACTGGATTGCACGTTTTAAGATGGATAATTTTGTTTTGTGAATTCCATCTCAATTCAAAAGTAGAAAAGGGGCACCTGGGTGGCTCGGTCAATGAGCATCTGACTTCAGCTCAGGTGATGATCTTGCGGTTCGTGAGTTCAAGCCCCACATCAGGCTCGCTGCTGTCAGCACAGAGCCCACTTTGACTCTTCTGTCTCCCCAGCTTCTGTGCCTCTCCTCCACTTGCACTCTCTCTCAAAAATAAATAAAACATTTTAAAAGTGGTGAAGGAAGGAAGGAAGGAAGGAGGGAAGGAAGGAAGGCAGGCCTCATGAAAGGAAACATTTACCTGTGAGAAGTGTCATAGGACTTTTCGGTTTGAAATCTCAGTTTGTGACACACCAGAGGAGACGTGACAATCACAGGGGCTTGGGTGGTGACCGTACAGGTATGAACACCAGGTAACACTTTACTGACTTCAACACATATGTCATGTCTACATCTAGCTCACATAAAGGTTTTTTTAAAAGATTGAAAGGAGACATATGTTTTAAAAAATTCAATGAATTCCTGTGTCCCCTTCACCCTAGATTAGGAAGCCACGTGGCCAGGACATGTTGACATGCTCTCAGGCTTGTGCCTCTCTGAGACTCCATTTCCCCATCTGTAAAGTGGGTCGCTGAACACCACAGGTGACAATGCTATTTGCTCCCTGCTGTCACTGTTATTATATAAAGTCATCTCCCGCCCATTCTCCATGTCTCCTGGCAAATCGGAGTCCTACAGACCTGCTTTGTTGCTTCTAATGTATATTTATCAAGATAGGCTAACTGCCATGGCCAACAAGTGGAAAATCTTGGTGGCTGAACACAACAAAAGCTTACAGCACACTCCTATCACAGTCCAACGGTGGTGGGGGTGGTTGTTTCAGAAGTGCAAGCATATAGAATTCACAGGGAACCCAAGGGAGGGAGGTCACCCTGCTCCCCCACGCTGCGGGCACATCCTGATTTGCTAAGGGGTTAAGAGCTTACGGGAGCACAACAGTCCTGTTGGCCTGGCGGTATGGAAACTTATGGGGATATGTGTCACTGCCTCTGGGCTCTAGTCTCGCTGTATATAAATCCAATCTTGGAAATGGTATTTTGACAAAGGGGTTGCCATTAAGAGTCCCAAGAGTTGGGTTCGGTTGCCCCGTCCTCCAAACATCACACCCAAAAGAAACCCATAATTCTGATCGGCGCTCTTATTTGACACTGTGCTGCCCTGCAGTAGTTTTGAGGCGTCCCCCACAGACTTGTCAAGCAGTGTAAATGCAGGTAACGCTTCCCTGTGAAAGCAGAAGAGGACTGATCCCCAAGTGCCTCTTTCCCCACAGACACACAGGTGCTAAGAAGGGATGGCAGAGGTCTCACTTTACTGGGAATCTTGGGTCATCCATGTAATACCTCCCTCTCTGGCCAGGCTTTGGAAGAATTAGAGCTAATAAAAACCAGATGCAACAGACTGCGGGGACCAGAGGAGAGAGTGTGGCACCCCTGAGGGCCACTAGGACCCTAAGAAAGGTCCAAATAGGAACGGTGCGGGTCCTCAAGAGACTGTGTTTGCCTTTCCCCCCTTATTTGTGAGCCCTGGTCTCACCTTAGATGAAAATAAGTTCGACCCGCCACACAGCGGGGAGAAAGCATTCCCCAGAAGGCAATCATTTTCAGAAGAAATAGCCCCAGCTCAGCCATGAGCACAGGTGAAGGGATCGTGGCAGGTAGGGCATCCTGTTTCACACATTATGCTCACAGATGGGGATGTGCAGGACCCCTCCCTGACCCATGACGGGCGCCCGCTGGGCTCACCGCCACCACAAGTGTCTCCCACCACCACAGGCAGAGCCTACGGCTTCTGGGGTCAGCTGGAGAGACCCTGAGCTGGAGCCCCGTTTTGCCAGGAGAGGGCCCCGGCGGGTGCACAACAGCAGGCAGGGGACGAGCCCTCTCCACCACGGGGTCCAGGGGCCCAAGAAACACTGACCAGCTCCTCTCCCCCTCCCCCTCCCCGCGACCCTCCAAACCCATGTCCTTGCTCACCGCCACTCTCCCGGCGACAGCCCTGGAGGCGGGGGGGGGGGGGGGGGGGGGGGGGGCGGGGCCCCCCCCCCCACACCCGCCGCACGCGCGGCGCCACCCGCCAAGCGGGGCGGGGGGGCCGAAGCCCCAACCAGCACGCAC